TAATTTTGATGTGCCTGATTTATACCATCAACAGAGTGGAGTCACAACTCAAATGGGTTTCATGCCAGTGTACCTCCATTGATTTCAAAGGAAGGGTCCTAAATTAGACAAGTGGAAGTGAGATCAGAATTGGACTGAATATTGGTGCAATATTCTGCATGTACACAGCTCACAGTTCATACAAAAATTAAAAATAACATTTCTGCCTGTCTCATGACACTTACGCAAGTAGTTCGTAAAACTTTCTCTGGCCCTGTGCTTCTGGAAACTGGCCTAGCTCTACTGATCTTCACAGAAGCAAATCTGTTTACACATTAATCATTTGACCCTAAATCTCAAATTATTTTCTGAACTGATATTTTCTAAGAATGAAATATGGCTCTTTGAATCCCAAGAATCACCTTCACTTTAAATGGAAAGAAGATGAAGCTGCATAGTACTAGCAGCCATTCGGTAGCTGTTTTCAATCATTTTTTGGTTAAGTTTCTTCTTTCTACTTGCTTCATGTGTTTCATGTGAATTGCAGCCAGCTTTGCAGGCCTGCTTCGTTTTTCACTCCTGTGAAAACTGATAGTTAAATAGAACCAAACACAGAAGTATCATTCTACCTCAAAAAAACCAAAAAAAACCTACCAAAAAACCCAACATATATAAGGTCCCTTATCTTTCCAACTCTAAACTTACATTTTGGTCTTTTGTATTTTCTCTCTATAAACGCAGGCTCTTGGCAAGTTCTCTGGCTTTTTCATAGGTCAAGAGGAAATCTGTCCAATTGTTTGACAAACAAAGTATTGTGATAACACTTTACAAAGTAATATGGAAGAATTTCTCAACCTAGGATCTGTAGTGTGACCACACTCAACAAAATGAGATTATTTTTTAATAATCAAAAGCAAGCAAAATCCCCAGTTACTTCAACTACAATTTTTCCCAATACTTTTTGCTGTCCTAAAATTTAAAATGGTCACCCTGCCTATGATATTTAAGTATTCCTTATTTGTCATTCACTTTACAGATTGCTTTCCGCTATGGGACAAACCTGCATTTCAGTGCAGGAGATTGCAGTATCTCTCTCATGCCTCAGCCATGACTAATGAGGAGCCGGCCCAATTTTAATGTCAAACAGGAGCAACACCCAGTCTAAGAGCCATCAGTAGGGAAGAATCCACATTTCAGGAAGAGGTGGGTAGGAAGACTGTAGGAAAACCACTGAAATGAAGAGACAGGTGTCAGGAGGCGGACAGATGTGCTTCACTCATTTACCCGAATGGACATGACGGTGTGTATCTCAAGGTTATGCAAAGATCATGAAACACGAAGGAAGAGTGCTGGCTTTCCCCACTCTATGGCACTTACAGCTTATTCCTGCATCAACAGGTTTCTGCTTTATTCCAGATGGACAATATTCTGAAGCCAGCAAGAATTTGTCTTTCATTTTCTCTGGTTTTACCTCTGCCCAATCCAGACAATTGCAATAATTTATTTTTTTTTTTAAATAACATTTTTGCCTTCTCTTCAATATTGACTGGAAACAATCTGACAGATGGAGTTTTTGATCACTTAACAATGAAATATATTTTTTTATTTTTATGATCTAGTTAGTTGAACTTTTAAAGCCTATGAATATAATCAAAACAGGGACAGATTTTTCCAATATCTAAGCACAAGAGTAACCTACTGTAACATACACAGACTATATACAAAAATTAGTAAACCACTAACCAAACTTTCAGCAGTTGTTCCTTAACAACCAGACAAAAAGACAAACAACATAACAACCAGAAAAAAACAACCAAACAAAAAAAATCCCTCCAAACAAACCAACTAAAACCACTACTAATCTAAACCACTACTAACCATTGAAATTCACTTTTTTTTTTTTCAAAGTGTTTGCTGCGTGGCCAGAAATTAGGATACTGATAACTAACATGGTAGGTCTCCACTCTGCCTTTAATTCCAATTGCACATTTCATTCAGCAGTCTCCAGTTAAAGAGCTGTGCCCAAATTCATGAAATCTGTTATCTTACATTTAGTTGCTGCAATTTCATTTTATATTCCCTAGGAGAATGCATAAATGAGGACAGTATTTTTCTAGCACAAAATAAAGACACACATATGTTCTGAGCTTCACAAACTGAAGACACAACAGCCTTTATGGAGATTATCATACAGAAGAATAAAACAAAGCCCTCTCATTTATTGTACCCACGTGGTTCCCTGAAACCTGAGCACACGAATGTCTGGTTCTGATCATTCACCCATGTGAGAGCATGTAAACCATACCTTACCCAGGAAAGGATGAACAAAACATCGAGAAATCTGTCAGTATTACCTACAAATAGGGCCAACAGAGTAAAAGTCAGAAACTAAATACAGATATGAACTTCCCCGTCCTTCCATTGGGCTGGAAGAAGTTATGAGCGAAACTGCTTGGCTGAGTCCTAAAAAAAGGACAGTCCTGCTGATCTGGAAAAGGGCTTTTGAGCACTGCTGTGATTCCAGGAAGAAACTGAAAGAATCATCTCTCTGAAAAGAGAAGAAATGAAAGGTAAATAAGAAGACAAGCACAGCAGGATACTGTGGATCAGCATTGTTTAGAAAACAGCTTGTTTCTTTTGAAAGCTAAAGGACTCCAAAAGCCTTGGAGAGGAGCACGACATGGCCAGGAAGACAAAGTGACAAGAGACGGATGACCAGGAAACCCACAGCGGCAGGTGGCACATGACAAGAATGTAATACCAAGCTTCACACTGTAGGATGAGGCACCTTCTACATCCACAGACAAATCTCCCTGATAAGGACAGCATCCTTCCTCTCACCTACATCTGTAAAAACAAGCAGCAGGTTCAGTATCCTTGCTGTAATGACATAAACTCTTTCCTCTTTCCAACAGGAAAGTGATACCAACAGTTGCTTTCACAAGCTAGACCTCCAGCAAAGCCAGCCAAAACGACATTTTCTTTAGAGGGAAAGCAAGGCAGTGAATCATGCTGGTGCTTTAGCTTACCAGATTGTTTGCAGTGCTGCAGATGAAACCAAGACAAAGGGCAAAAGTGATGGCAAAACACAATCAGTGATGTAGAAGAGGAAACATGAGTTATAAGCCACCCAAACAAGGAACAAGTAATGTAGAATTATCTTGGACATCTTAACGTTCTCACATCATGGATACAGTGTAAGAACTTTGTCCTACCTGAAAGAGAGACGTACAAACATATACAAAGTACAGACCATCTCAGTCTTGGATAGCAATGCTCATACTTCGCCCCTGAGATAGGAGTCTAGCTAACAAAAGCAGATTACTGCTGAAGAACCTCAGTGCTTTTCACCTTTTCCAAGTTTGAAACCTTTTTCAAAGTCTGAAAGATTTAGTGTTGGAAGGCAGATGAGCCCTTTCTTTCAGTAAAAGGGGCTTAAGTTTCACACCAGCTTCATGAAGTGCTGAAGGCTGGCAATGGTACCAGTGCAAATCTTGGATCCTAATTTACTTGAAGCATACACAAAGAAATATGGCGTTTGTAGCTGCTATTTGATATATCTTTTTTCTAACCTCTATTTACTTTTTCTTTTTCTTTTTTTTTTTTTAATTTAAACTTTGTAGAATCAGGGCATTACCTAGAATTCTCACAAGCAAATAAAGTCCAAGTCTGGAATAAGTATGATTACAATTTCTTCACTTCATGTTTTCAGGTTCCCATTTTTCATGACGCCTTCTCAAGTGGCCTTAGATTCAAGTACGTGTTTCCAAGCCCAGAAAATCTTTCAAGGGCTCTTTTAGATGTCTGCTGTCTCTGAGTGAAAACCATCAGAAGGAACAGCATGATCCTTTGAAAATAAAACCGCTGAATATCAGTTATGGCCATTTGCCTCAACAGTTTTATAATCATGCTGACTAGTAATGTACATAGACTATTTAAACCAAAAGAACCAGAGGGTAAGTAAGTGGCTCAGGGGCCAGTCCATCATACTGCATATCTGGTTTTGCTAATCTTGGTCTAATTCAACAGCAAAATTCTATTTAATGGCTACATCCAGGTCATCAGCACCTACCTAATAAAAACAAGTAATAAATCAACATCATTAGTGCAATGGATTCTGGAGAGAACAAGAACTGAAGAACAAGAAGTGCTAGAGATGTCAGTTAAGACTATCTGGTCTTCCTCACTCAAGAGCATACAGTTCCTAGTTGTAACTCTTTTCTTTGGCCATTTATTCTACTGCCAGTTGTAGATGCTACAACTAACAGCATCTGAGCCATCAAAGATCACCCCTGTTGTTATGCAGCCTCAAGGATTTATTCAAAACATGGAAAGGATATCCCCCCGTGCGATGCCAAGGTGAGGGAATCTAATTCTCAATTCCTCTAATAGAGCAAAAATAGAAATGACATAGGTGAAATGCAGAAATACCCAGTATCCCTTAATGGCCCTCTGCCTCTTCCAGTCCCAGACCACTACACCTCCATGGCCTTGCCATTTGGCTCTCATTAGTTTACATTTTCAAACACATTCCATTTAACTTCCACAACATAAAGTTTACCCCATCTAAAGCTCACCCCATCTAAAGTTCACAAACATAGTAGGTGAATTTCTGGTAGGGAGTTGATTTGTGTAGTGCTATAGTACCCAACAAATCAACAACACATTCAACAAGAGTCATCAAAGTTTCCAGTATTTTTATATTTTTTATATTATCAGCTTTCTTAAGCGCTTCAGGCAGTTCATGCCTAGACCTTCTGAGTCAATTGATATAAAACAGACCATTCTCTCCTCTGTTTTTTTGCTGCTTCTGTAGGATTATTAGCCTAAAATCCTAATGAAACAAAGCATACGCAATACTGCTGTCTTTCTGCCCCCTTCCTGCTCCATTCTGTGTGATTTCTGAACTCATTGACTCACTTGAACCCATCAAACCCTGCTGAGAAATGAACAGAAGTCATCAACATGCTGGGTTCCTACTAACTTGTGGAAAATCAGCAGACAAATAGCAACAGAAGAAAATGCCCCCACTAAAGAAAATTTACCAGCGTAGCTCATCTGCTACCTGCTTGACGAGCTGTCCATCAACTGATTGGGACCTGCACGGTTTAAAACATGTTGCAGCCAGACCCCTTTCCTGAACAGCTACTAGAGAGCTGAGAGGCTGCTCCAGGGAGGAACGGTTCAGAGCCGGTATTAGGGGTGAGATTACAAGCAATGGCAAAAAAAACCTCAAACAAACCAAAAAACTAAACTAAACAAAAAAAACTAGCAGTAATTTTCAGGCAAAAAGGTGGGGATAAATAAGACAGGTGTAAAGCACAGAATGCTGTAGTACCTTACAGATTCAGGAGGCCCTGCAGCCCATCAAACATGGTTTCATATCAAGTTCTCCAAGATGACAGATAGTTTGAATATAGCAGAATGCTCTGTACTTAATTTTCATGATCACCGCTAGCCAATCTACATGCCAGTTTAACAGAAATGGAAGGCAAGCTGCTGTTCGTGATGCTGTTCATCATCAGGGGCATCAGAAAGTTATCAGCGGATGGAAGATTTAAAACTAACTGAACTTTTTGCTTTTGAATTCCACTCTGAATAGACAAACAAAGGAAAAATAATTATTTTTAGATGTAAAGACAGAGACAGGGAAACAAACAACAAAAAGCAGTGGAACTCCAGAAAAATCTCTGGAAGCGAGGTGATAATTTAAATCACTTTGAGGCTGGAGAAGACAGGTGAGGAAAGCCTGGTGGAACGGTTTTGGGAAGGTCTGACTTTCACACAAGCTGGAGCAGGAAATGTTCCAGACTCGGGACCTAAATCCTGGCTAATCTTTACCGCCCGGCGGCAGGATGCAAAACAGCAGGGCTCCGTTCTGGAGCTGTGAGCCAGCGCTCCTGCAGCGCGAGATATCCCCAACTCCCGTGTTAAATGACCTTGGAATGGCTGAGTGCGGAGGCAAGTTATGCCACAGCAGCTCAGGTTTAAACTGTCCGTGTGGACACGGTTATTAGCAGACGTGGATAGCATTCTGCTTCTTCCTTTGCTCCCTTTGCTCCTTATTTTTAAAATCTCAGGGCTGCAGAAGAATGTCTCGTCTCTGGCTGTTTAAGGACCATGTGACTCCTCTGTACTTTGAACTCAGATAAACTTCTTACTGAATGAAGTCATGTGTAAAATGCTTGCCGACAGAGATTATTTTGAACCACGCCGTACTAAGAAACACCACAGAATTTCAACACTCATATTTCAGCAGCAAAAAAAAAAAGGAACCGTTGTTGTACTGAGTGAAGGGCTTTGGGGGGAAGCACCAGACCCTCTCGCACCAACAGAACTACACTTGTACTAGACTATGGAAGTAGATCATGTTTTAGTTCAGGGAACAAAAAAAATCACTATATTTCCATATAATCACGTGTCACAAAAAATAGTTTTTGCCTAATCACTGCGTGCAACTTTGCTTCCAAAACACATCTGCATAAATCACAGTATGCCAAGCTTAAGTCAGTAAAACCAGTATCGGGTCCAAACTGGCTACGTTGCGATAGATCAGGAGTTCTGTGTGTTTTTCAGCCTGAAGAGATACTAGGTGTTAGTTAATATTTGGACAAAAAAATTTCACAGGCCTGATCATTACGCTTTTTTTCCCTAGGAGCAAAACATATGGCTTGTGTCCTGGATAACTTCCAACCTGAGAAATTAGTACTGACCACTTAAGTTTCCCCTGTGGTTTTAACCGGATAAAGCATTCCTCTCCAGTTCCTCCTGTGAACCTTTATACCTTGCTGTGGAACACTATTAAACAGCTACTGCCCTCTGCCCCCAAAATGGTTGCACTTTAGTAATAAGTGAAACAATTTTATTTAAATTATAATTATATCCTTGTCCCCTCAAGATAGAGTTGGGAAGGACAGAGATATAATTTTAAACATAACTGGGGGCACATGGATCTGTTTCATTCCTTAACACAGGTTTTGAGTTGCATTAGACATGATCTTATATATCAGGATGATGTTTTCATGCAATGAAACTGGTAGATGAAGATGATATTTTTTCCCTAACAACTTCAAGTCTTAAAAGACCTACCCTTAGGTCCATACATCTTGTTTAAAATCCAGCATTTCTGATGAGGATGTGGAACAGCCTATGGGCTCAGGAAGGTCTGGGTGTTGAAAAAGATTAATATCAGAGAAGAGATGAGCAAGCTTTCTGCTCAAAAAGGTGGGACAACCAGACAAAGCAAAAATAAGTCTGGATATCTTGCTATTCTACCAGGGCACTGAATATTTTGATTGGTGTGTTGTGTTTAAAGAATAAAGAGAATTAAGAGAATGAGCTATACATCACCATACAACACTGCAGTCCTCCATGTATTCTGAAGATCTCCAAGCACTCTACAGCTGATTAGTGCCAGTAGGGAGTACTGGAGCCAAGCATTAGGAGAGGCATCTTATAACCAACCACAGAACAAACTAGGTACCTGATCAGGGAAAATTCTTTTCTCTTCCCCCCAAATCAGAATTGCAAACACCGAAAGCAAGACAAAAATTATCAAAAGGGAGAAGACATTTTGAATACTTCCATTTTTTACTCCCATTTTGAAACCATCTGAATTCCCAATTTCAGACTTGTATAAACTATTAACTTCAGCTAAAGTCTGAAGCATATACTACCTCTGCAGATGCATCAGGATCGCTGTGACAAATTAGGCACCCTGAAAGTCAGAAGCCACTTTAAAATTTCCCCTGTACAGGATCTAAGTGACACTAAACAGCAGAAATGCCAGGAAGAGAGCCATTTAGATCAGTCTATATTTTAACCACTTGGTCAGATTTATGAAGTACTTTGAAGATGACAAATGCTACTGAGCTGTTCAGTATTACTAAAGAAAATTGCGCATGGGAACAGAATTTTTTCTGCAAGAGAGCTTAATGCTGAGTGCTCCTATTAGCCAGCTGCTTAATCCGCACACATGTATATATATACACACATCTGTACGTATGCGCATATATACATCAGTTTAAGAGATCTTGTGTAACACATTTGCACCTTTTTTTCTATGTTAGAAAAAAATAATGCAAAAAAAGGAAGAACAAAACCAGTTTTCTGCTTTCCCATACGCCAGAAACAGGCCCATTCTGAGAACATTATGAGTGGCCGGCTTTCACCCATTGTGCTCACCTTGCACTTCTTGTAACCATCCTTCCTCTTTGCACATCCAAAATGATCACTTACGGGGCTGACGTACATGGCGAATGAGAAGCCTCTGCCATTTATATTCACAGATTCACTGGGATTCTGTTCCCCAGCCCTCTCTCCTCTTCAGAGCTGACAGAGGACTGGGAGTGATGGGAAGGCTGGGGGCTGCTGAGGCAGAGCGAGCAGCCCTCACCGCTGCAAGCCTGAGCAGGGTCCTGGGGACAGTGCTGGCAAAAGAGCACACAGAAATGTGCTCTTCCAATTAATCCATCAAACTGGGTAGTCTGGGATTCGACTCCCACCATGTAAGGATGTGACACTACTAATTGAGAAGATTGAATATTTGCTGGGTTTTGATCAGGCCAAACCACCAAACAAACAAGCAAAAAAGGGCAAGTTTTAGAGGGAGATGTAAAATTTTAGGTGTCTCTTGTGGCATCCCTTTAAACACACTGAAACAGAGTTCAAGCCATTGCCTCATCAAAAAGCACAAAATAGGGTGTATCTCTGGTGTCCAACATTGCCATCATGTGGCCATTCCACCTCTGCAAAAATAACCAGCAGGGGAACCTTGCCCTGCATTTGCAGCTTTTAAAATTGTCTTTAGCAATGTTGGCAGGCTATAGGATAACTGGCAAGGAAGTAACAACTCTCTCATGACGTCCCTCTACAAGGAAAAACACTCCCTTCTTCAGACCTGCTCTTTCTTACGTTCAGTAGCAAACATGTTTTTCATTTTCTGAGACACACTGCTGCCATCATTATGCTGTGATGCACAGTATACAGTACAACTGAATACCAAAAATGTACAGAAACATCAAAAATGACAAATGGAGCATTTTTGATGTCAGGAAGCCAATCTTTAGAAGTAATCCAAATGAGAACAGCACAATGGCCTGGATCAGGAAAGAGCTCCAACACAGGAAGATACATGGAAGTCTGCAAAGAGTCAGGAGCAGAAAACAAAGCAAATGAATCAAATTAGTAATTTGAGAAGAAAATTAAATACCCACAGTCAGAGGGCAAAACAACATGGAATGCAGAAGCAAGCTGTAAAAAAACACACAAATTGAAAGATTGCACATAGTCAGAAAAGTAGTAAGAGAATTAAACTGGATCCAGTGCTGATGAATGGCTCAATTAGAGCAGCAGTGAAGAAAAATAATTATCTGCCTCAGCGCTCGAGCCAAAAGTTGATCATCTACACAAACCTTGTATTTGCACTCATCTGGAACCCTGCCCACGCAAAGCAGGCATGGTTTAGCTTACGAAACGGCCCACTGATTGCTTGAATTACTGCCCCAGTGAGGGACACGCACAAACTCCTGAAAGAAGGGACAAACTTGTTGCCTGCCTATGAGAGCAGAAGTACAACAGGAGCTCTCTGCACAGCTGGCACAACAGACAGATACACACAGAAATAACGGCCACCTGGAAACAAATTTAGTGACCTATTCTTAAAACAACATTCATCTTTCAGCTATAAAAAGCCTTGCATCAGAACAGAACTAAAGAAACAAAGGAAACTTAATCGCTTAAGATAGGAAACAAATATTGACAGGCAAAGAACAGAAGCTTAACTACCACAGGTGGCTGGCCCTACAAAAGAAAATCCTGTTTATATTCTCATCTCCTAGCACTTGGCATCTGTGAACACCTAAAGGTGCCTGTCTGCGGTCACCACTACAGCTGGAGCAAAGTTACCACATGTGGCAAAGATCCTTCTACAGCTGGAATGCCAAAACCTGTGAGGTCACAGTGACTTTCTTCTTCACCACCTAGTTTGGAAAAGAAAGCTTGCAATATTCATTGAAGTGGAAACTCTGAACCAATCCTAAAAAGCCAGTGAAGGAAATCAGATAAATATTTACTGTTACCCTGAGCTGGAGCTGCTGAGATGATAATTATGCCTTTTTGTGGTGGTGTTTACTTGTTTGTTTTGACAGCTTGCATAAGGCTTATCTGCTAATCAATTCCTGAAAAGCACATCTATTCTTATTATGCAGTTTCTCCTGTCTAGGGTAAGAGGACATAAGACAGGGAAATACTTTTTACTCATGTTTTTAGCAAAAAGGCTAGTTTGTGAAAACTAAAAATGCTCACAAGCTGAAAGAGAGCTTTGTTCTCTGTGTCATTGACCAAGTTTCTATATGCTGCTACAAGTTCCACTACATTTTTGAAGAGACTATTCCCTATTGTTTTGTTTTAGTTTAAGTGCAAAATGAATTGAAGGGTTGAATTAAAATATTACTTTTTCATTCAGGACTGTCAGCTGTATAGCATATAAATTGAGAGATTTTTCAACAGAACATGGATCCAGGAAAGAAAACAAGAATATTTAACAAACCAGGGGACTGTGGTAAAGCCGTATTGGTTGCAGAGGCAGAACCACATCAGTGCGAAGTGTCCCTACCACTATGCACTGGTGAAGAAGCGAGAGTCCCTTACGCAGAATTTCATGGAGTCTTTGGCTTCCCATACAAATCAACAGCAGCTCTCCAAAACAAATACCTTCTCTTCTACTGAACTGAGGAGTTCCTCAGGCAGAGTAGTCCAAAAGGGTCATGCTATACAAGCTGTGCTGAGCAAGACAACCATCCAGAATCTATGCTGTTTGAGGTAGGCAGTTATCTGGATGCAGTTACAGATGCCCATGAAAATGTCGGATGCATCATCCTCTATTCAAATTTCTTGCCTTGTAACGAGGCCTACCACTGCTGCATAAGCAACATCTACAACTTCTTGCTGAAGTATCCAGAGATCACACTCTGCATTTATTTCTCTCAGCTTTATCACACCCAGGACACTTTCTGCGCCACCACATGGAACCGCAAAGCTTTGCAGAGCTTCTCCAGCGAGAACCCTAGAGATCAGCAAAATCCCCCTCAATTCAACATCTTCACAGGAATGTAACTGTATTTTAGGAAAGCCTTTCCACAAGCAATGTGGGGAAATCCTGCTGTGCAGCAGAACCTAAAGGCCTTTTTTTCCTCCTAGCCTGGCCTCCCAACAGCCTTGCCAAGGGTCTCAAAGCCACTTGGTGCTTTCCCCAGGTATGTTTCGACCCTTTCAGCGGGAACATCTATAGCCCAGACCTAAAAATATCATAAGGCATTTAAAAATGCCAAAAGAAATAATTCAATGAAATTCATAATTCTGAAATGTTTCAAAGCAGCAGACACCTACTCTGAAGCTGATACAAATCGAACCACTTCCAGGCTGTAAAACTGAGATAATGGATGGCAAAACAGCCCTACCAATAAAGCCACCTCCTACAAAAGTTAGCCCTCAGAATAACTGTGGATCTCAAATAACTGATTCTATAAAGATAACATGCTTTAATTTTAGTCCTATACCTTTCAAACATAAACCCATAGCTGTAAACCCAAAAAGCTCAGTATTTTCTGATTACCTCCTACAATTAATTTATTTATTGCCCTCAAGTCAGTTTCTGACAGAAAAATGTAAGCAGCCCACAAGCTACAACTACAGCCAGATTGTAGCTTCCCAGCTGGGGCAACTTGGGGGGAACGCACGACATACCCTGAATTTCTCCTCTGCTAAGAAGGTGGTTGTGCAGGTAACGCTGAAACATGGATAAATTTTCCCCACCAGCTGTTTTCTTAATAATAGGGGAGTTTATATACACATATATACGCATGCATATTATTTTTTTCTAGGGCTGCTGCCTTCCATTAAGAGGAACCTCTCAAAGCTGTGTAATTTTCTAATTAGTAAGAAATATCTAATAGGATGATACCGATAATACAGATCTACACAGTCCAAGCCTAACCTGAAAAAAATTGTTGTGGTCACAGCCGTTATGTGTCTGTGTAATAAACCAAAAGCGGCTGCTGCCCCAAGCGGCTCACACAGCCTCAGCTTGGCAGAGCCGGTCTGGCTCGGGAGCTTCGGCATTTCTCTCAGCCTCTGATGAGGTAACGCAGGCAGATATGTGCTGGGCTCCACCACATCCCTTCCTTTCACAACACCTAGGCGCGGCCTTGAATTAATCCTCCTCATTCGGCACGTTCCGATAAAACGTTACCGCCCTCTCACGAAGATGTCAGTGCTGGAGCAGTGGGGCGCTTCCTTTCCACAGCCAACACTATTTTTTAACCCTCATAGTGACAAATCGCTGCTTGTGCTTGGGCTTGGGCTTG